TAGATAGCTGAAGCAATAGAAGCCGCCACTCAAAAGACAGGCCATGCGCAAAGCTGGCCAGGAATCTGAGCTATGTGGGTGGAGGGGTTTGAATGCAAATACAGGGGTCAAGGTATTCTTGGAGGGAGATCTGTGTGTGAGAGAAGGAGCAGAAACACCACAGACGCACACAGACAGCAGCAAGGAGGCCTCAGAGACAGACAGATAAGCACTTTGTAGTGTGAACCTAGGAAAAAGCAAAGAGCGAGAGAGAGCTTTGTGGGCAGAGTACTGGCTGGAAAGAGGCTTGGAACTGTAAGCAAAGAAATTGTCTCCAGCTGTTTGATTCCTGGTGTGTTCAGGGAAACAGTCCTTGGTACATTCTTGTAAATAAACAGGATTGCATCATGGACATACCTGACTCCATCAATTTCTCCTCCTAACAGAAATAACCCACAAGACCCAGAATATTGATTATTCACTTGAGTCACAAGAGGTAATTATATATTTGGAGGGCATATTTATGGGTATGAATCTGTTCCTTTCTGTCACCTGTCCTGCAGAACAGGTCCAGATACTATTGTCAAGGCTGATTCCCCACTCTGGCACTTCGAGTGCAGAAGGTGGGGGCCCGCAAGGATTCTAAAAATTAATACTGGCCATTCCAGGCTGGTATTAAACTCCCATGGTTACATCTTTTCTCTGACCTTGGATGGGTAGATGCTGCCACCACCGAAGTGCAGAACCCCTTTGAGAGCCCAGGAAGGCACAGTTGGGAATTCCTTCCTGTGGGGTACCCTCAAGCCCTTTCACCCCACCCTGGGGAAGAGCTGAGAAGAAAAAAAAAAAAGGAACTCAGCTGTTGCCACCAGCTAATTACACAACAGGTGCACAAACCTCTTAAGACACAAAAATCCAATTCTGTTCTTTAAAAAGGTAAATTGTATTAATTAAAAAAAAGAAAATACATCTGGGAACTCAGGCTATTGCTAGATTTTAAAAGAGCAACTACAAGGATTAAGCACCAAGAATAGCTTTCTTGAGGTCCAGCTTACAGGTTACAAGCAAAACAAAAGCATCTGGGGTTAGCACAGAGGGGTCTACAAGCCATAAAGAAATAAAAAAGGATAAACCTAATCACGTCTTCCTAGACATTTCCTGATCTACTTACATAGCTGGGGTTTCAAATGAGTAGTTTCTAGGTATGATACCGAGGATTTTTCATACCTGGCCTCAAACTTCTTACAGCATAGCTGTTGCCCAGTCCACCTCTCTCCGGGAGAACAACAGACAGACAGACAAAAGGGGCGTCTTTGTTTCAATTTTAAAAAGTTCTAGCCCCCCCATTGGCTCTTTTGGCCAGGTGCCCACTCACTTCCTTTTACCTATACATCGATGTGAGACTTTTTAACCCTTTACAGGTAGAGCAATTAGAGAACAGCTACTAAGAGGGATTTTATAGCTACTGGCTGGCTGGGTGTCCATAAAAGGGAGCTATACGCCCCCTTCATTTATCACAACTATATATTGTGTTTTGACCTTCGGGTTATGTGCAGATGTGGTCGCCCCTTCTCAAAAAAGATATGTGGGAATTGGAAAAGATTCAGAAAAGGGCAACAAAAATGATTAGGGTATAGAACAGCTGCCGAATGAGGAGAGATTAATAAGACTGGGACTTTTCAGCTTGGAAAAGAGATGACTACGGGGGGTATGATGGAGGTCTATAAAAACAAGACTGGTGTGGAGAAAGTAAATAAGGAAGTGTTATTTACTCCTTCTCATAACACAAGAATTAGGGGTCACCAAATGAAATTAATAGGCAACAGGTTTAAAACAAATAAAAGGAAGTATTTTTTCACACAACGCACAGTCAACCTGTGGAACTCCTTGCCAGAGTATGTTGTGAAGGCCAAGACTATAACAGGGTTCAAAAAAGAACTAGATAAATTCATGGAGGATAGGTCCATCAATGGCTATTAGCCAGGATGGGCAGGGATGGTGTCCCTAGCCTCTGTTTGCCAGAAGCTGGGAATGAGCGAAAGGGGATGGATCACTTGATAATTCCCTGTTCTGTTCATTCCCTCTGGGGCACCTGGCATTGGCCACTGTCGGAAGACAGGATACTGGGCTAGATGGACCTTTGGTCTGACCCAGTGTGGCCGTTCTTATGTTCTGATACCAACACTCGTACATTGTTGATTTCAGTGGGGCTTGTGCGTGTATAGCTAAGGGTGGAATCTGGCCCATAGGATTTATTCCAAATATAAACAAGAGCTGGCAAGAGCCAATGGGTTGTGCCTCCACTCGAAATCCAATTTACAATTTTCCTTTCGTTCAGACTGGAACGACCCATGTTTACAAAGCGGGTTCCAGTCCCAGCTTGGGCTGTGATTGATTGTGATCAAGACTTCCAAAACCAATTAGTGGTTTGGGACGGGTTGATTTTTTCCCCCCCTATGCCCAGCTTAAGACACACACACACACCCCTGAAAATCAGGCCCCGTAGGTGTCTCCAGTTGGACACCCAAAAACGGTGACCACTAGTCACACTGGAAAATCTTGGCCTGCATATGGTGTCTGCAACCTGCTGATTTGTTACTTTATTATTTGTATTGCAGTAGAACCCCCATAGAACTAAGATGAGGGCCCCACTGAACAAGGCGCTGTACGTAGTAAAACAGCCCCCACAGAGCTTACAAAACAGAGGGTGGGAAGAGGAACACACAGAGGTGAAATGATTTTCCCACGGTCAGGATTAGAACCCAGGTCTCTGACGTCTAGCCCAATGCTCTACCCATTAGACCATACTGCCTTCTGCGCTCTTCACTGGCTGGTTTTTGGTTGCAATGTATATTTCTTAAAACGCTCTGGCTAAAGAAGACTATTTGTACATAGTGTTTATTAATGTTTCACCTGCTTTGAAACAGGGAATGCAAGCACTCTGGTAAGTGGATTGGCTGTGTAGTTTCATTGTGGCATCTGTAATTCTACAGCCTTTACAGATATTCAGCTCCTGCTCATGGTGAGCAATCCCTTTGCAGTCAATGCTCAAAACGGAGCGGAAGGTAATATTGTCTTACCTAAACTATATCTGAAGGAATAAATCATTGATGCTTTGGCCAGCAATTGAACTTGCATGTTGCCCATTCAAGGAGTGGGAGTCATAAGACAACACTGTCACAGTAAATTGTCTGCTAACAGAATGGTAGACAGGATACATATACTCACTCTGACTGAGCTCCCAACACTGAGCTAGGCACCTCCCAGTTCAGATCAGACAACCAAGCCCCAAAGAGCTGCCCATCCTCCTAGGATGGAGGAGGGACTCATCAACAGGGAGGAGTTAACGGAGGAAAGACATCAGCCGCCTTAGTGAGATTTATGCAGTTACTCAACAGGAGCTGATGCAGAATTATTTTTCTTTGTTGAATATAAATACAAATATATCAATGTCATTGTATTGTTTGCATCACCCAGTTAACTGGTTGTGTCCCAAGACCGCAGGGTTTAGAGGAAAGTGCATGGAGTGAGAGTGAAGAAGCTCCAAGTTTTAATCTTGGATCTGCCACTGACCCCCAGCACGGCCTTTTGCATGTCCCTTCAGTTCTCTGCCTCAGTTTCCCCATCTGTAAAACGAGAATACTCATTTGTCTCCTTCACGGGAGTGCAGTGAGATTACGTGTCTACAGCCCTTTGAACATGCAGCTCAATCAGGAATGGGTGTGAAATGCTACCCAATCAGAAGGCTCGCACTTTGCATGGATGTGCTTTACACCTAAGGCATTGGAGAATCAGGCCCATACAACACTCTGTAAGGGCTACACAATATTATTATTATTACTGTTAGACATTTACACTAGGGTTCTACATCGACTCTTTCCAGGAATCTCTGTGTCCCATGCCATTTCTTGTTTAACCTCTTACTGGTTTTAAATCAATGGAAAAGCAAAACTACACGCACAGGGAATTAGAAGATATACAAGCGCTCCAGCTGCTTTGATCATTTCCAGGGTGCACATAAGCTCTTAAGCCAGCTGAACTTGTCCCTTTGTGTAGGGTAGGGTTACCATATTTTAATAAAATAAAAGGAGGACACTTCACGGGGCCCCGGCCCAACTCCGCCCCTTCCCCGCCCCAGCCCCGCCCCAACTTCGCCCCTTCCCCAAAGTCCCCGGTTCCGGCCCGCCCCGGCGGCTCCGGTGACTCCAGCTCGGCTCGGGCTCCAGCACCAGCACCGGCCAAGCGGCTCCGGCCGGCAGCCGAGCGGCTCCGGCCCTGGTCCCAGCAGCTCCGGCCCAGCTCGGCTCGGGCCCCGATTCTGGCCGAGCGACTCTGGCCCGGCCCCAGCCCTGGCCGAGCGGCGCCAGCCGGCGGCCAAGCACCGCCAGCCCCAGCGGCTCCAGCCCGGACCCAAACCCCACAACCCCTCCCTATTTTCCCGGATATGTCCGGCTTTTTGGAATTTCCTCCCAGACGGGGATTTGAGGACCAAAAAGCCGGACATGTCCGGGAAAATCCGGACGTATGGTAATCCTAGGTAGGAGAATCTCTAGGGGGTATCCTATCCCCTCTCCTCTGTTACCAACCCCACTTTAAATGACTAGAATTGTTTAAAATCTAATTTACTTCTCCCCCCCCCAGTGCTGTTTGCATCTCCCAGGCAGCTGGGACAAAGGAAATAGCCCTCAGGACACTTTCACTTAGGTTTCACTTTCACTTTCAGGTTCTCACTTCTCAAGTCAGCACCCTGCAGCATGGTTTGGGTTGCAAAGGCTGCAGGAGCCAATGTTGTCTCATCTGGTTACAGTCACGTGCAAAGCCCCTGTTCACTGATGCATGTTTTTGGACAGAAACAATTTCTACTCCTAGTCAGGGACTGAAGCTGGCTTGTCTACACATTGCCTCCTGCCCGCTTGTCCAGCCTGGCCTTAGGGACCCTCCCGCTGGAGTCTGTGGAAAGCCCTGCACTGTGAATAGATCAAATGGAGCACACCCCAGGATGGCTTTGGGGCCTCACTCACCTGGCAGGCGCTACCGTGCGTTTCGGACACCATTTTTTGCCCCGAGGACAGTGGCGTGAAGTTCTCCATCCGTCCCTCCTCTGGCACTGGTGGGATGGGATCACATCAGCCCCGCGTTACCTCCTCTCCTGTGTGTCCCTAGGCCTTTCTTATGAAGAGCGGTGGCACTGGATGCCTCCGGTGGGCAGGTAACAGGACTCATCCTTGATAGCAGGAGGACATGGGTGCTGCTCCACAGTTAGCGCTGAAAGACCCAGGCCAAGCTAAACCTTACCTCTCTGAGCTCCCCTATAGCTCCCCTATAGCAGTGGGGATCTCTGAGCCACCCCTATAGCAGTGAGGCTCCCTGAGCTCCCCTATAGCAGTGAGGCTCTCTGAGCTCCCCTATAGCAGAGAGGCTCTCTGGGCTACCCCTATAGCAGTGGGGATCTCTGAGCCACCCCTATAGCAATGGGGCTCTCTGAGCTCCCCTATAGCAGTGAGGATCTCTGAGCTCCCCTATAGCAGTGGGGCTCTCTGAGCTCCCCTATAGCAGTGGGGCTCTCTGAGCTCCCCTATAGCAATGGGGATCTCTGAGCCACCCCTATAGCAATGGGGCTCTCTGAGCTCCCCTATAGCAGCAGGGATCTCTGAGCCACCCGTATAGCAGTGAGGATCTGTGGGCTCCCCTATAGCAGTGGGGATCTCTGAGCTCCCCTATAGCAATGGGGCTCTCTGAGCTCCCCTATAGCAGCGGGGATCTCTGAGCCAGCCCTATAGCGATCTCACCAGCTAGCCCTATAATAATGGGGATCTGTGAGGTCCGCTATCGCCATGCGGATCTCTGAGCTAACCCTACAGCGACGGGGATCTCTGCGCTGCCTCCCCGCAGATCTGCGCCGCTCCTGTCCCCCCCACACACACCCGCCCGCCCGCACAGGCCTCTCTGCGCAGCTGATCCCAGTCCCAGGCAGCGCGGGGCTGCGGCTCGGGAGGGCGGAGCGAACGGCGGGCGCTCGCTGAGCCGGGAGAACACCACCGGCGGCCAGAGGGAGGTAGGAAACCGAGTCGGGCGGCGGCGGCAACCCAAGAACAAAGCCGAGCCCGGAGAGACCGCGGTGGGCGGGCCGGCTCTGACTGACAGGCCCAGCAGCCACCGGGAAGGGCAGAAGGAAACGGCGCGGGCGGGCCCGGCGGGAGCCAATGAGAAAAGTCTGCCGTCCGGGGCGAGCGCCTCAAATAATCTGGCTCAGCTGATCGTCTCCAGCCGAGAGTTGTTTTCGAAGCGAGGGAGCGCTGCAGCCAGGCGGGCGGGCGAGGGCTCTCTTTTGTTGCATGGGTTTTTAGCCGTTGTTGTGAGTGGGGTGGGGGGGATTTTCCCCGCCCCCGGTTTTTTCCCCCCCCCCCGTTTTATCCCATTGCAGCCCGCTCCCCTCCCCCCATGAGTGGGACCGTCTCTGCCCCCCCAGCCGGGGCCATGCCCGCCATCCCCTACCCCGTGGAGCTGGGGCTGACGGTGCTGCACACCGCCCTGTACGCCTCCCTCTTCCTCTTCGCCTACCTGCAGCTCTGGCTGCTGCTCTGCTACGGGGAGAAGCGGCTGAGCTACCGCCCGCTCGGCCTCTCCCTCTGCCTGCTGTGGGCAGCGCTCCGCACCGTGCTCTTCTCCTGCTACCTGCAGAACTCCCTGCGGGCCGCCCCGCTGCAGCGCCAGCCGTTCCCCCACTGGCTGCTCTTCTGCTCCCCGGGCTGCCTGCTCTTCGCCGGCCTCTGCCTCCTCAACCTCTACTTCGCAGAGGTAAGTGGGGGTGTGTGTGTGTGTGTGTGTGCGCCCCCTGTGCGGGGAGTGTGTGTGTGTGTGCGTGTGTGTGTGCGTGCCCCCTGTGCGGGGACTGTGTGTGTGTGTGTGCGTGCCCCCTGTGCGGGGA